ATTCCTGTGCTCTTCAAGACTGAGAGCTTGTGGGATTTTTGGATGCTTGAACTTGCTTTCAAAGCAGAACTTAGCACGATAAAGCAATGTATTGGGAGTTGGACTCCATGATCGTTATGGTCCCTTCCAACTCGATATATTCTATGATTAGTTGTTACTAGGACAAATGCTGCATCTGATCTAATATAAATGCCACATAAGGAGTACTTTTCCTGGGAGACCAAGAATGTTGGTTTATTCAGAAAGGAGCGAGAGAACAAAAAATCATGGTAGCATGCAATCAGATACATTTTGCTGTGTTGTGTATATTTTCTGAAAACATAGTGGTTAATAAAAAGAGAGTAAAAATAAAACTTAACAAAAAGATTTTACTTTATTTTTTTACAGCTGCAGAGCACAGATTCCTTAGACTGTCTGGAACGGCTCATAGATTTAAACAATGGAGAAGGGCAAATTTTCACCATTGATGGACCCCTTTGCCTGAAGAATGTACAGTCTATGTTTGGGTTAGTAGACTTGTAGATAATATGCCTTTGTGAAGGTTTCCAGACAGTATTTGTAAAAGAAAACAAACTTAAGAAGAAATCTGATGATATGGAGTGTTCTAGTTAGCCTTTTTTCTTTTCGTTTATGATCTTGTTAACTCTATTTTTGTCTTGACCTTCACTGGTTACGGTCAATATTTATTTTAATCATTCTGTAACAAACCACAGAACCTGTTTATGATTGGCAAATAGAAGATACTGATTTCCAGAGTTATTGTTAGTTTGCCATCAGTGTGATAATATGTCACTTTGTTTTGTAATTTAGCAGTGCTAGAACTATTGAATTAACTGTAGTTAAAAAAAATAATAATGGAGAGCTTAGTGTGCTTTAGACAAACTATTTTCATTTGATATGTATTATGTTTTCCTTCATAATAACGGATCATGTTCTAGAAAACTAATAGACCTGGCTTATACACCATTCCATGCTGTTCTCAAGTGTGGCCACTTAACATCTGATGTGCAAGTATTTCCCAGACCAGAACCTTTCATTATAGATGAGGAAATAGACCCCATCCCTAAAGCAATTAATACAGGTAACAAATCTTTGATTTTTTTTTTACTTAAATCCATTTGATTTCTGCCGTTTCACTACCAGCTCTTATCCTGTATAGTTACTGTTTAATCCACTTTGTCTCTGCAAGGATCAGTTGCTGACTGTGTAATTTTGGGGGGTGGGACCAGAACATCATCCTATTTCAGCCATGTGTACCTCATAAAAGGGCTGGAGTAGGGTAGAGGCACTTTCAAAGCTCAGGCTTGCCAATTGCTAGGGGCAAGGACCATGAAAGACAGCCACAGGCTGCTTTCCATGAATACTCTCATAAGCTTCATGGAGCATAGGAGAGGTGTGTGGGAGAAGGGGCTGCATTTTGTATTAGGGTTGCCTTTATCAGAACAACCCTGTATTATCAGGTGAGACAAACTAGCATCTTTCTGGAGGTTTCTTCAAGGAATCCACTAGGAGTGGAGTCGGGAAGAATTGGTGGTATAGCACAAGTATGAAGGTTAAGATTTATGAAACCATTGTCTTTATAGTTTGTCTGTCATCCTGGCACTTCTTACCAATACTAAGTTATTTTTAAAAACAACTATGCAAAGAAAACTGTTCCTCAGCCCTCCTGTTACTGAGCACTGCTCCCATGAACAGCAAGTAGTCTGTAGATAGCCCATGCCTGTGACTTGCAAATGGCTGGGCGCACTTCTTGGAGAGAATACACTGAACTTCACTGCTTTGCCTTAAAAATTAAGTTTCAACGGTAGTATCAAAACTGCTCTCAGCTCTTCCGCAGTGCACTTGGCCACATGCATTTTGTTTTTCTTTCCAGTCAGGCAGTAGAGCTAAGGATTGGCACCCGCAGTGACACCCCAATGTGGCTAACTCTGCAAGGGAGCTGATGGGAGTTCCTTCTAGCTTTGCACTATTTGGGAAGTGCAAAGAGTATGACTTGGTTACATCATATGCCCAGATGTCCTTTCAGATAATTTCTTTTCTGTGGGTTTCTAGCTCTACTGGCAATTTAATTTCCTGGATCTGTCCTGTGGACTTCCTTTTTTTCCTGTGTTCATCCACAAAACATGCACAGCTTGCCTGTGTATAAGGACACAGTAGTGGTAAGATTTTGCAAGGAAGTGAACTGCAATGCATAAATTACTGCCACCAGGACTGCCTTGATTTGTTTGGGTTTTTTTAAATATGCAAGAGAAAAAACTTCTCATTTGGGGTGTGATCACTTCTTGTTTGTAGCTACATACTGTTTAAATAGGAATGAGTGTGTCTGTACCAAAATAGCAAAAGCAAAGAAGAAGAGCGTGCAGTGTGTCTTGATGAGGGAGGCTTTGTGTTGCCTTCACTCTTGGAGTTCCTCCTGTTGTTCCAAAGATGGGAATTTGGCATGAAGGAAATTTTGGTCTGTGTGCATTAAAATGCAGTGTATGGTGTGCTCACCCCCTGAATTCCTCCGTGGCTTTGATCAAGTGTTCATTGTTCATCTATGAGGAAAATCAATTGCATCGCCTTTGGGCCAGGTCCTTTGCTTGGGCTGTCAAGGAGAAGACTGTGCTCCCCAGTGGCAGCTGCCGTACAGGTTGGAAACGCACTGAATTTCTAATTGTGCCGTACACATGTGGACCTGTGTCCATAGCTAGAGCACACCATCTGTCACCATGCTTCAGGTAGTAAAAAGTTTACCGTGCAGGTACTGTCTACACCTCTGCCAGTGTAGAGCTGGTCAAAGGCTAGTCCTAAGCCACACACCCAAACTTTCACATGGCTAAGAGACATGAGCCAGGAGATGGAGAGGAAATGGGGCAAGGCTGAGCATGAAGGACATGGCTGCCTCCAACTTTTACCAGCAAATGCCTGTAACTCTGTATGAGATGGAGCTGCATTTAAACTTCCAGTGGGCGTATAAAACCCAAGAACCACAACTCAGTCTTCCCAGTCCTGGGAACATGCCCCATTGGGGCTAACACTGCCAGAGGGTTGATGGGAATTCCTACAGGTTCTGTGATGCCAGTTCAAAGCTAGTAGATTTGGTTTAGTCCTTTGTTTTCTCTCCTTCTGAATTTCTAAAATGGCAATGGTTTGCGTACAGTGTAAAAACCAATGTGCACAATTCTGTATTTGTCTAGCAACATGCTGCATGGACAACAGTATGTGTGTGTTGAAAGTTATGTTCTCATCTTAAATTGTCATGGTATTATTTATGAATGTTTTTATCTTGTTAACACCTAGACACCCCAGTCAAGGTTGGGGCTCTGTTCTGCTACCTCTAGTCATTGCTTCAGAAAACTTAGAGGTGTAAGAAGTTGTAATGTTAAATTGACTCTGAATACATTTCAGATCTTTCCAAATCTGACTTAAATCTGTTGTCTCCCTACAGATCTAGAAATTGTTGGTTTTGTAGATATAGCTGACATTTCTAGCCCTCCTGTCTTGTCCAGACACTTGGTACTGCCCATTGCACTTAACAGAGGTGAGCAAGTTTTGTTTCTTCAGCAAAAACTGGTTTAAACTTTTCTTGTAATGTCTGTGGTGTTTTAGACTACAAGGACAGATTTTATGCTTTATCAAAATGCCAGATGTCTCTAAGGACATGTTTGTGTGATTACATTAAAATTAAAACCTTGAACACAAGTTCTTTCTTTTTTTGAAGACTGTGTTCTTTAGAAAGTTAATAGAGGTAACAGTGGCCTTATAGCATCATTATTAATAGAACATGCTAAACTTAAAGCTAAAAATAGTGATGGGCCATGAAATATGCAGTGCAAGATGAATACTTAATGCCTACATGTAATTGCTTCTTGGAATGATTTGTTGTTGTGAAAAATCTGAACTTAATCACAACTAGATTGCTTGGTTGTACTCCAGCATTAATTGCTGCTCATTGGGGCCAAATATTTATGTATCTATACAAAGACTGGTGAAGACTGGTGTAGGCTTCAAGAGTGGTTAAGCACATTACTGACTTGCAGCTACTTGTGTGTGTCAGCCTGTGATAAGGACTTCCCTTTTCCTTTTGTCATGGCCTTTGAGTGGAGCAAAGAGAAAGTGAGATTTCTCTTGGTAAAGAAGAAGGAAAGCTCCAGATATGCATTCATCTCTGTATTAACACTGTTATTCTGATAGGCCTTTCACTTTAGCAGATATTAACAATTAAATCACAGCTGTATTCCAGTAAGTTTCTCATAATGACCACAAATTGCATAGGAGAGGAGGACTTGAAATTCAGGATGCTATTGGTTCAGAAGCAGACATGTATTCATTGCCAGACTGTTGGTGGTGCCATTTGATTTCCCTTCTAGTTTCTTCAAAGCTGAGGTTTTCTTTGCAGTTTTTTGTAGCTCTGTTTTGTGAGTAGAATGCAGTGGAATATTTATGTAACATTATAGTGCCACTTTGCCCAAACAGTTCATTTAGCAGCTGTTCGTCAGACAATTAATTAGCTCTTCCATGGCAGAAAATACAGGGTAATGTCATGCAAATGAAACTAGTGTGTTTGAATTTATTCTGATGTTGTCTCTTTCTTTGCTTTTATTCTTCCCCAGAAGGTGATGAGGTGGGACCTGGGATCACAGATGACACAGAAGATGAGAATTCAGCTAATCAGATTGCTGGGAAAATCCCCAACTTCTGTGTTTTATTACATGGCAGCCTGAAAGTGGAAGGCATGGTGGCTGTTGTCCAGTTGGGGTATGGAGCTGGATGTCTGCCTGAAAAATCTCTTACTTTGCTCATTTATGCTTTATTTATAAATTATGCTTATTTATGTCTGTACTCTGTACAGAACTCTGCACTGTTAGACAAAGCTGTGGATTTTTAATTGTGGGTATGTTTCTGCCAGTATAAATGGCAAATAGTGAGCCTCCACACCATGGGAGGGGGGCAAATTCTAGGCAAAGAAGGGTGGAAGATTTTCAGCCTTTGGGATTTGCTCTTTTCAATAGGCCAGAGTGGTATGGAATGCTCTATTCACAAGCTGATAGCAAGAAGAAATCAAACCTCATGATGTCGCTCTTTGAACCTGGTGCCGAGCCCCTTCCATGGCTAGGGAAGATGGCACAGCTTGGACCTATTTCAGGTACTAGTCACACTCATTTCAATAACTCTTACATGTTCAGTGTTTTCTTGTGTGAATGCCTTGCCAAGTCTTAGTTGTTAAGTTCTTTTTGTTTTCTTCCCACCCTGCCCCAGATGCAAAAGAAAATCCTTATGGAGAGGATGACAATAAGAGCCCTTTCCCCCTGCAGCCCAAGAACAAGCGCAGTTACGCGCAGAATGTTACTGTATGGATTAAACCAAGTGGCCTTCAGGTAATGATACAGGTTTTGGACTTGATGCTTTACTTTGATCAGCAGTAGCCATCTTACCAGCAAAGTGGAATCTGTGTGTGTCATGTCTGTTTCATGTAATTGCTTTATTGCTTTTCTTTCATTTTGATAAACACTGCCTCTTTAAAATGTCATGATTAAAATGCAATCAGAAAGCATAGCTTGTTTAATGAAAGCTATGTCTCCAGTGTAGCATCTGGCTTAGTTTATTGAATTTAGTATAATTACCATTTATGTTTCAGCCTCTCTGAGCTGCAGTCTTGTCAATGGTCAGGATAATTTATCAATGAGGATTTTTTCTGCAGCTTCCCTGGCAGTTGCCAAGATTTTATTTTTCTTTTTCTTTTCTGCAGACAGATGTACAGAAGATCTTGAGAAATGCAAGGAAACTCCCTGAAAAAACTCAAACCTTCTATAAAGTGAGTAACATTTCAGGCCAGCCCAGGTTTCATCCATAGTGATAGTACGACAGAGGAACACATATGTCTGCATATGTGTCTGCAGTATGTTCTCTGCAGGCTTGTAGGGCTCTGCAAAAACATACATGGTTCTGTAAAGGAGACATCCTGGGTCTGTTTTACAGGCTAGTTAAGGTGAGATGAGGGGGTCTGGTTTCCCTGCTACCACGTTCTCTGGCAGGGTGGCATAGATGTGTCATGTTTAGAGATGCCCCTCATGATCCCTGCTCCTTCCATGGTGAGCCGCTTTGCAGATTTTGTGCTGTTGTACAGGCAGAAATAAACCAAGGGATCAGAGAGGAATAAGAACACTGATGTCATTCGGAGTCTGAAAACATCTCCTACATTTTTTTCTACAACTGAAGCAGAGAAGGACAAAGTTCCAGGCTCATTTAGCCACTAGACTGTAGCTGGAGGTAATTGTTGTTCCTCTTGTAAGCTTAATGCTGAGCACTGTGTTACTGTAGCCCCCCGAGACTTCAAGAATTAATACTCTGCCTAAATGCATATAAGCATGCATCAGTTTATAGTCAAGAAAAATCAATACATATACATTCTGCTGGACACGGTGGGTAAAGGCAGCAGTCAGTGAAGCCTAAGTTGGAGGCCACCCCCAGCTGGAACACAGACAAAACAGGCAGGTACAATAGCTGAATTCACAAAAGGGAAAAGGGGGAAGTGGAGATTTATAGGAAGGGATCAAGGGAAAACCAACTGCTCAGTTGTGCCACTGTCATCTTCAACCCTGAAGCATTTTTTATCTCGTGAGCAGCTGGGCAGTTTCCAGCAGCTGTGCTGATCACTCAGGTTATTTTTCCTCTAAGCTTGCCTTTAAAAAAAGAAGTAAAAAAACCCACATTTTATGTAAAGGCTTACAGTAGGCTTTAAAAATTGTTCTTCTTTGCAGGAACTTAACCGTTTACGAAAGGCAGCTCTGGCCTTTGGCTTTTTGGACCTTTTGAAAGGCGTGGCAGACATGCTGGAGCGGGAGTGCACCCTGCTTCCCGACACGGCTCATCCCGATGCAGCGTTTCAGCTCACACACGCTGCTCAGCAGCTGAAAGTGGCAAGTACTGGAGCGTCGGAATATGCTGCCTATGATCATAACATTGCTCCACTGCAGACAGACTTTTCCAGCAGTAGCACTGAAAGACTGTGAAGTTTCCATTTTGGGAACTTCTATAGGTTGACACAAGTGGTTCAAATTTTCTTGGTGTGTTTACTTTCTAGGGCCTGTTTTAATTATGGTTTGGAGAACTTAAATCAAAATAGGGTCCATTACCTGTATCAGTGCTCTCTAAATAAATGCAGCTAGTTTGTGGTGGCTTTAGTCAGACCTGGGAACTGTGGAAAGTGGCCAAAAGTCAATTACTGTGTTGGATAATGGGTGGAAGTTATTCAGTGCATGTGAGGAGAGAAAGAAAATGCCATCATGGCTTCTGGCCTCCCCAAAATGCAGTTACTACATAACTGAACTTACTGGTAAAAGTATGTTAAAAGGCAGCTACTATACACCAACTTGATTAGTCCAAAGATAACATGTGTGAGAATCACCGTGCAAGATCAGCTGATGTCAGGGTGTTATCACTAATTTTGTGCCCAACTTGAAAGTCAAGTCTGTACTGCCATACACTGCCGTGCTTATGCTTGTGAAAGTAACTTAAGTCTTGCAAGACATGTTTTTTATGTGTGTAATATTAATAAAGAGTAATTCTTCATGAAAATTTAAGTTGGATTTGTTCCATTTTCATAGCAACTAGGCTGTGTGGCCTAAAATGTTAACCTGGTGAACAGCTCCCAGCTGTTCATCAAAAGTTAAATAATAAATCATAATTTCTTGCATTCAGGGAAAAGAACAAACAACTGAACTAAAGCAAAATTTCATTGTAAATCTTTATTAATAGAAACACATTCTTTCTGAAGGACTAAAATTCAGTAGTGTAAGATCCATGACAGCGTGTACTAGGTACCACAGTTTCACTGAGAAATACAATGTATGAATACATATGGATTTCATAACAGAAGTTTAAATGCCCAGTGGAGAAATTAAAGTATGAAAGTGATCCTTGCTGTTCCATTACTCAGCTAATTCAGTCCTTTGACATACATACTTCAAACATGGGTACAATGTGTGCTAAGTGAAAAATTAGGTGTAAGTGTATAAATAATGCTCAACTCTCCTGAGTAAAGTAAGCTGCACTCTCCTTTGAGTGGAATTCTCGAGTATCCCTAAAGAGAAGTTGTATCATGCCTCTTGTTGATGGAACACAATTTGTGAAATGCAGCGTGGAGCTTGTACCAGATCTTTGTTAAAATCTCCTTATAACACTATCTATCTCCTTTCCTTTACAGTTAACAATCATTGGGTCCATATCACAAACTGTAAGCTGTTTGTTACCTTTAATACAGAAAATAATTTTCCGGAGGATTCATATTGTTTTACAGTAGAAAAAGATAAACAGTAACATGGTGCTAAGCTAATCTCAACTTCAGTGCCTGTTCTGGATTGCTGGCATTGCTTTGCATTGCCCTGGGAGGAGCAGCAGCAGTTGTTGTGAAGCAACCTGTTCAGAACCACAATATGGCTTACAGCAAACTTTTTGTACCTTTTCTAAACTGGATTAGGGAGACTGGAGGGATCTGGAATTAATTACAGGAGGCTAGGTGTGAAGAAGGGCATGCTGAAATTAAGTCAACTGAAACAAAGGTTTCCAGGTGAGAGAGAGATGGCCTGGAATGTGGGGGAACTTAACTTACCTTTTTTGTTGTTGCTGTTTAAAGCAAGCACAGAGGAACGGGACCCTTCAAACCCTGTACAGGATCTCACTTACTGAGATTTGATACATGCTATCAAAATAACACACAGTTTATTTGACTCACTAGTCGGGGCTAGCCAACGAAGCACATAAACTTAGGGGTGCAGCTGAGAATTTGGTGTACGTAGAAAAGCAATATTTACTGCCTTTCTGAAGGCTATAAATACAGGAGCTACAGCCCTGCCAGGAATGACCCTCTGATCATGCTGAGCCCAGTCTCCCACAACAGTTCCACATTTTCCCTTTGCATGGGTGGCATGGAGTTCTGCTGGGATTTGTTCACATGGCACCTATGTTTCCTTGTTTTGTTATGTTTCAGTGCTTGCTTTACCCATCAGGAAGGTGCTTCTGACCATGTCACAGAGTGGCAGCTTCCTTTCCCTAATAACTGGATAAGCATGTGTTGCTACAGGAATGCTATCCACACAGCGCTCCTCTTCTGTTAAGGCTAAACTAGAAACAGACTAAGTTTGTAGCATTTAAATCGGCATTAGCAACTTCCAGTTTTAATTCTGCTGCATCAGTTTGCTGCAGAAGAGTATGTGCTAAGCAAGTTTACCCCAACTGTTGATAAATACCCAAACACTGTTCACAGTAGTTCCAGACTGCTCCTCCTGCCATCAAGATGTACCCTAGGAACAGCATAGCATATCCCAACATCAGAAGCCCTATCTGCATGCAATATTGAAAGAGCAAATATCCAATCAAAAGATAAACACTACTTCTATTTAGTGCTGCTCCACTGTTTATAAGCATATTATATGCAGATAATAGGATTTCTTCCTAATAGGGTGGTTGACAGGACACAAGTTTAAATGTTACTGTTCAATGGTAAGTGCCATGCATACATGATTGAAAGGGAACAAAATACAGTATGTGGGAATGTTACCTGAATTCACTATGAAATCTACCATGATCATTTAATTTTACAAAATTCTTTACATTATAGTGGGTAAAACTGTAGGAATTAGAGGCTTATCTTGTCATTGAGATAAGTTAGATAAGAAAGCATTGCAGTCCTCCTTTACTTCATCTTTCTCTTCTTTGGTCCAAGGTGCTGTTTCCTTTGCTTGTAGAGATGACGGAAGTTTACGAATACCCCTGAAAAAGAATGAAGTGTTTAGGTAGGACATTATTGCGTCTTTTTAATGCTAGATGGCTGTACCAAATGTAAAAAACCAACAAAAACCAAACAAACCAACCACCACCCAAAAAAGTGACGAGTTAAGGGTGTGAATTGCATTATCTTTCAATGCTAAGTTTTTTGTTGCTGGGTGAGGCAGGAGTTGCTGCACAGGGTGTTTGGTACCAGGCTGCAAGTTGGTTTGTCACATTTAAAAAAAGTTGCAACACCGGCTGTGCAGAGCTGGGGAAGGCTCAAACAGGTATTTCAGAGTGAAACTCTATTAAAGGTATTCTTTAAGCAATGCCTGTGAAAGGGAGAAATCTGGTGAAAGTTCAATTTAAAATTCTAGGTTAGATGCTACTGAGTTCTGGACATGCAGACATACTGGGTATGGATACTACAAAGTTAACTTTTAAACTTAAGTTGTAACACCAGAAAACAAATACGTGTCAAAGCAGCACCACTCTTCTTTAAATATACTACTATTTAAAGAACCTTGTACATTGTTCCTAGGAAAAACATGACTTCATGTTGTATTAGTGACCATAATGCATTTTAGTTAAACACTGCTTTAATTTGAAATTATGTTTAGATTTCTACTAAATCATTCCAAAGCTCAACTACAATGTAAAAGGTGAAACTAAGTATACTGAGGTTATAAATACATATAAAAATTATTATTTTAACCCAAATGATCCCTAGATAATGCTGCTAACTTGTTACCAAGGTCTCCTTCTTGGTGAGGCTAACTAGTGCTAATTGTATGTGTGTTCCCCTCCATCACTGACAAATTACATAAACAAGCAACAAGGATAATGCTTAACCTCAAGCAATTTTCTGTTGCCGTGATCCCCAAGATTCAAGAATTTAATTTTCTTTGAAAAATATACTTATTCAGAGGAAACTGCTTTTTTATTTCAATAGTGAGAAATACAATTAAGTATCTTACCTAAAAACAAGGCTATAAGATATATTTGAAGCAAAAATGAAAACTGGATTGTGACGTTCAGTGGATTTGGCAATCCCAGACTAAATTTCCCTGTTTCACTGAAGATTGGAATGGACTGAACGATACAGACAGCTGAAAGCAGAAGGCCACCATGGTTATCAAAAACAGATAAAATATACAATTGCCCAGCCCACACCAACTTTTGCAGGATATTCCCTTCTTATTTGCTGGCTCTCATTAATTATACTGACTTTAAAGCTGTTTTTTTTAAACATGCAGTATGATGGAAAGCAGCTAGCTGAGACAGTATAGCAGGTCAGCTATGGAAGTCTAAGCACTGTGAACTTGCCTGGCGGGACACTGTTCTCATACACAGCTGTAGTGTGCAGGGCCAGTGCCAGCAGTATTTACCATGCAGAAATACCCACAGCAACAAAACAGGCATCGTCTGATCACAACACATTTCTTACAGCTAGAAGCTGAGCAATGATATGCTTCTTAAATAAACAAAAAACTAAACATAAACCAGACCTGTTAAGACAGCAGAGGTCACTGTAAAGGCCCCCCGCCCAGAGGGGCTACAGCAAGAAGACTAGGCACCTGCTTCTTCCACGGAGCAGAGCCCCACCTGGCACAGGCTATGCTGCTTTCAGAGGAAGAATCGGCCCCTGCCTGTCCTGTGCAATGACTTACAAGATGTTATCAAGATCGGTGAGCTGGTGTGAGCCTAAGCTAGGCTGACCAAGGCAGGTCTAGCAGACAAAAGCAAATACACTGCTTTGGATCAGCAGAGGCAAGTGAGCATTGTCATCCTATGCTGCTCACATGGACTGCGGCACACGCTTGGTCACTCTGTCAGGTAACCTTTTGTTGCCTTTACTTTCCAGTGCCTAAAAGGAAAACTTCTTTTCACATCAAATTGAAAGAAATATCCGATTTGCTAAGACAAAAATGTTTACATTTGGTTCAGCTCAAAGCAAATGTCTATTTATCTGTTGTTCTATTATATTATTTTTTAGTCCAGTAGCCAAACAAAAAATTTAATTATTTGCCCAACCTTGACTTTGTTGTTTGTTAAACTTTTTCAGACATACCTTCTGCCAAGCCTCCTAAAGGGTAGAGAGGGATCCAGGTAGTGTAACGGAGCCAGGTTAGTGGTTTCCATTCAATACCGATGCACGAAAGCATGTAATACGGATACCTAAAACCAATTCAGTGTGTAAAGAAACAAGACACTGTTTAAAATAGAAGCTTCTACTAGAATTAGTTTTGCATCTACCCGCTGTACAGAATAGTCAACATAATTCCTAAATGATACAATATTAAAAAATTGTTCTTACGGATCATGATGGACACAGCCTTATTTGGCAGTTTACAGAACCCATGCTATTATTCTGACCATATAGATGAATGTAACTGCCCGGCTTGCCTAATAAACCTTTCAAAACACTTCTTTTTTAAAAGAAACAGAGCGTAGTGCAGCTCGCTTAACAATGGAAATTCAAAGCAACAGAACCCTCAAGGAAAAAGGCAACAGGTTTCCCTA